TCTTTCCAAAATGGTTTTAGTAAGTATTTTTTAAATATAAATATTCCCTATAATCAATTGTATCATATAGATTGCAATATGTGTAAACATTTAGTGAAGACTACTGAGAATAGTGGTTATAAAGTATATATGCTCATGTTTGCTGAAATTTTGATGTTTGTATTACTGTTATGCTATGTCTACTGTATGTTTAATAATATCCCCGTGATAATCTTCACATTCTTCATTGTCTGACTTTTGGCTCGTTACTGTGATAGTGAAAATTGTTGCTATCCATTAGATGTACTCACTGTCTATTTCATTGTTTGGCAATTTATGTATCTTACATGTCAATGTGATTGTTATAAGCTTTCATGGTCCCTTTTCATTTTTCTACAAGAATCATACCGTTTATCCACCTCTATCAAAGCATATTTTATATACGATGTCACTTTTCATAATGTATCATTTCAATACAAAATAGTTTTTCTATGGCTATTTTCGTTGTATGATATGTAAGTGAAATAAAAAAAAACAATCTTACTGTATCCTACATATATATAAACTGCTCTGTCCAAATAAGATCATGATATAACCTTTGAAAATTAGATTAAATAAAAAATATTTTAACGAATGTTTTTCAAATATGCTTATCTTATTGTAGAGTTACATGTCTTCATTATAATGAACGTATTTATAATGTATAGCCGAATGCAGTGACATAAGATACTTACTTTCCGTATGACATCGAAGACAACAAGAAAGATGATAAACATTCTAAAGGATCTCTGGGTATTGGTGATTTCATATATTTCAATTTTATGCTCCTGCTTATTATATATCCAACTTGATCAATTACAACAAAACTAATCGTGACATTGATATGCATAGCCGCTATCGAAGTCGGTTATTATGGTATAGGATTTATTGGACATTTGTGGTATGTACGCGTTATGCCTGGTTTACCATTTTCTGTTATTTTTTTATTCGTGTATGCTATAATTGCTGATTTTATCATGAATCATAGAACTATGGATCGTAGCGATATATGAATATTTCTACAAAAATACTTATTTTTCAATAAATATCATATCAATGACATTAACTTATGATTGGTTTTTTTTTTCTTTCAATAGGAATTCTGAATGTAGTAGAATAAAAAATCTATTATATATTCTATCTTTGTTGTTAATTTATTTTATTCATTTAATCCAAATCAAAATATTTTCTACTATTTATTATACGTAAAATCTAAAAAAAGGACTTTCAAAATTGATTCGAACTTTTTTTTGTTTTTGTAAGCCATTCTTTTCTTTTCGCTGATATTTTTCGGTAAGAATAAAAGTTGATTATATTCTTTTTTTTTGTTGACATTGATTGACGAAATAATGCCCTTATCAGTATTCTTATTGAAAATCTTATCAAAGTATTAGAAAAAATGAAAGTTGTTAGTTGTTAAGCGTTTTGAAGTATAATATCATTTTATATTTTTTTTCTTTTTGGTGACAAAACTCGAACTAATCAATGATTTTCTTCGATCTGTTTTTCAACAACAGTAATCCTTTGTTATCTATTCATGTGAAATCAGTTTTTCGCTAACAACAGGTCTCAGCGTTTTTATCATCTCCTGAACGTTTCAACTCAAACACAAGCTTCTCTCCCGAGATAACACATTTTCAAAAAAAAAATCACTTTCTCATAAAAATTTCGAAAGTAACCTAATTTATGCATGAAATATTTTAGGAAGAAATAATCTATTTGAGCTGAAACTTTCAGGATATCATGTGAGCCCAGTGATCTATTGTTGGGAAACATTTTAGATGGAAGTTCTTTATTGCGGTTTGTCTTGAAGTATAGATATTGATGTTTTCTTCACTCATACCACATTTACACTCGACTGTTTTTGTTATCGGCAATATTGTGTGAGTTCAATGCATCCAACGTCAGGGCATATGGATTGCTCAATTTGGCCGGTACTTTTACCTGTACAACCAGTAATACCAGCTACAGTTGCTGCTATCGAATTCCAACAATATTGGAATCTAGTGATTGGCATGAAAAATAAATAATGACCTTTTGCGAAAATTGAAATTTTATGCTAATTTTTTTAAGAAAATTATCCGAAGTTTTGGTTAATAGGCTAAGTCGCAGTTGTGGAAAGTTGGAGTTGAATTTGACTCTGACTTTCGTTCATATTCATAAATCCGGATAAGACTTCGTTGGAACATCCAAAATGCATTAATTTATATAGTAAGTATCAGAGAACGAAATCTACAGATCAAAAAGATTCCTATGCTAAAGCAGAATTTCAGACAAAAATTTTAATTGACTCTGAAGTTGACACTGTGCAGGACTCTACTCAGTGGGACTATAATGAACATAAGCCAGATATAATGAAGCAATTCTGAACACTATGCTAAAATGAGTATAATATATGAATTTTGTGCCGATCACTTTTCAAGCAAGCTTGACATTAGATTGCAAAACTTTTCCAAAAGAATTTATAGAGAATCCAATTGTGAACAATATGATATAAAGTTGTGGCTTATTAGAATAAACGATAAAATAATTGTAGACCATACATGAGATTGCGCTTATCCATCAGCACTTTTTTGCTAAGATGTTTTCAACTTCTTACAAACAATTCTTCGAAATCGATGAATATCTTTATTTCATAGAGTTTTACAAGTTTTCGTACTATATTGCACATATATAAAACTACGCGAAGTGGTGGAAGATAGACAAAATAAGAAGATTAGGAGGCAAATAGCAGTATAAAGATGCATTAATGAAAACTGACATCTATATTAGCAACACAAAAAGAACGTATTATCGAGTCATCATGACAAATAGGGACTGGTACATTTTTTTACCATTAAAAATGATACATGTTTATAACCACTCATAGGTATTCGATTTTGATATTATTGGTTGTACACACCTGTTTTTACATATCGGTATCATTTATTTATTGTTTTGCTTTATTACTAGTTTGAAGAAACGTCATAATGTGTTTTTTTTACCGATGATTTGCAAACCTTGAAATAGTATTATTATAATTTCTTTGAATTCTCTTCTAAAACAATTGCATAAAACATTTCTATAGTTAATTAGAAAGTTTTGCATTTGCTAGAGTTTCTGATTTCTACGAAAAGCAATTAAAGAACTATTTTTAGATATTCTTCATCATTGATGCTTAGTAACAATAATCATTCATTTGGTAGCAATACGAATTATTTAACAATAAAGATCGTTGTCTTAATAGTCTTTTTGTGTAGATAAAACATTTGTCGTGTATTGTCTATTGAAGTATTTTATATGCATGACAGACACGTTCTTAATCATTCTCCAGAAGATTTGACAATTGCCACATACATCTGCTTCCAATTCTAGATCAATTTTCTTGTTTAAACTATTAATATGACATTAGTTCGACAATTCAAATTAAAAGATCTTTTACGTATAAACAATGTGTAAGTAAGATTAAATGAATTTATTTCATGAATGAACATTGTTGCTTTTTTCTTTGTTTGTTAACTTTTAGTAATTTAGACATCTTCACAGAGAACGTAGGTTTGTAAATAATAAATAAAGATAAATATATGAAAATTTTTTCATGATCTTTAGTATGGTCTTTCATTCTATTTACATTATCTGGCAAGATGGCCTGATTGTTTTTTTGTCGCAGAAAATTCTGCTCATAGACTAATGGGATATAGTAAGTTATTTACTTCTTTTTCTTTACAGATCTTATGTACAAAATTGTTCACATTACTTAATTGTGCATTCCGATCGAACATCAAAGACTAAATGCCCGCTTCTTTGATATATATGGATCATTTCCGGAAAAAGGCATATACCTAAATTAGAAAATATCTCTCTAACTATAGACTTAAAAAAGTTTTTCTAGAGATTATAAAGAAGGATTTATATCGTTTAGAATTCGCTTCAAACTTATTATTCAGTTATAAAAGGAATTTTTTTCGCTTGTGTATTCGTACTCCCTCATGTTCTTTGTTGGAAAATCTAAGCATGCTGAAAAAAACTTTGGATAACGAATTGATAGTCTCAGAAGTTGTCTATTGAATGCAATACTAGAAAATGATAGTCTCTAAATGACACAGTAAAATATAATACTTTGTTTTTTCTATTATAGTCATGGGAAAAATCGAAGGTAAGTACCTATTCATTTGTTTTTGGTTTATTCAAGTAAGTCCATATCTTATTTAGGTAAACAAGATAATTATCATGGTCATGTTACTGCTGTATCAGTGGCGCCTGAATTTCGTCGTATTGGAGTTTCATCACAACTAATGGCATTATTAGAACAAGTTTCAGAACAGTTTGTTATTTTGTTTTTATTTAATTAATATTTATATTAATGAATATAGGAAAAAAACATATTTTGTTGATTTATTTGTTCGTGTATCAAATAATCGGGCTGTTGATATGTATCATAAATTGAATTATGTTGTTTATCGACGTATAATCGATTATTACTCAGGAGAACGAGACGAAGATGCATTTGGTATAGTATTATTATAATTAGTTTTCATAATAATAATAAAAATGAAATTTGTTGCTTATTTTGTTTTTAGATATGAGGAAAGCTTTGTCAAGAGATATTGATAAAAAATCCTTAATACCAATTCCACATCCTGTAAGACCAGAAGATCTAGGCGATGATTAATCTCTGTTGTGCAAATATATATGTGCATTCGTATATTTCTTCTTCTCTTTTTTGTTGCTGGAAGTTTATTAATAGAAAATAAAACGATTGCTAAAGAAATTATTTATATACACCGACGATGATTCATTTATATATATATATATAAGTCTATATTGATTTTTAGGGCGTCCCTCGTGAAATAAATGACAATTTTGATTAATGTGAAGCATATGTGATGAATTATGCTATAGACCAGAAAAATGAATAAATAAATTCCTTACGGTGTATTAATACGTTATGTGAATTTCAAGAAGAAGTAAAAGTTTTGAATGAAAAAACGAAAAAATTCTCAACGTCTTACAGCAAATTTTGTAAGAGAACTTTCGAACAGGAAGGAAAATCTAATATGTCTGAAAATAATCAGAGTTTGTCAATCATCGCTAATTATATTATTAATAAATGATGGCTTTGTTTTTCTCGATATTGAGTACAATCAACTGTTGTTGAATGATAAAAGAGATAATCTCAATGAGGAAGAAGGTAAAAAAAACATCGATCAAAAACAAAATCAATCTCTGTTCGTAATGACATTTATCTGTCCAATAACTAGATCTAGTCTCAATAGATCTCCGATCAGCGCACTAAAATGATTGTATATGCAAATGGATTATTTTCAGTGTAAACAATGTTCTTTTGTTATATTTTGACGAGAATGACAGTTGATTTACAGACTCTACTTGGGTTTTCTTATTCAGATTTATTGGTGTAAAGTGAATTAGTGCTGTTTTTCTTAGCTGTTTCAATGAAAATAGAAAAACTATTTTTTGTTCGCTCTACCAATATATAAATATATATTCCCATTGGAAATGCGACTTAAAATTTCTTTTTTTTTATGCATTTCTATCTCAATGATTTATCACATTCTTGTGTAAAAATAAGAAAAACATTAATCAAAGAATACAATATGTCTTGCAGTTGTTACAACCGATAGAAAAAGAAAGTAACATAATGAAAAGTCGCGCGGAAATAAACTCAATAAAGAGACGAATATATGGAACTAAATCAAAGCTAAGGAAATAGAAGCATTTAATTTTATTTCTTATAGTTACATGTTTATTTATAAAACGTGTTCGATAACAACAGTATGACAACAATGCAAATTATTTTATTCTCAACGCAGTAATCGACTGTATGTGTTGTTGATTTTTCTTTTCTGTCTAGTGTATGTCCTTCATCTATTGGCAAACTGATTTTTAGCTGCTTTTCGAGCATCATAGATTGCCATAACATTCCGTAACAAACAAGACTTATTGACATTGTTAATATAAAAGATAAGCAGGAAAAAAAGAGAATACTGCATTGATGATTCAACATTTGGTGTCTTTTTATAGACCGATCTCGTCATTATACGCCGGATGTGATGCTTTGATTTATCTTTATTCCTCTTTTTATCTATTCTATGCATATATACACGCAACGAACTCATAGATTCTCTCTTATTTTTTTTTATTTCTCTTATTCATTCTCTTGTTTTCTTCTTATTTTCTATAACTATTATCAGCTTCAACATTGTAAATATGCCATTCGATAGAAGCCTAAAATGACAGCCACATATTATATTCCATTATAAAAACTTGTTCAGAATATTTATATTCAGTCATATTTGTCTTCTTTTCTTCCAGATTTTCATTCAAATTTATAAAACAAACCAAGTCTATCAATCATGGGTAATAAAGCTGGTAAAAAGTCACGATTATCTACTGAACTTACACCAAAAGGTTTCTTATTCTTGAGTTCATTTTTTTTGTGTTCTCATCAAATTCTTTTTTATTCATAGAAATTGCTATGCTTAAAGCAAATACAAAATTTTCGGAAAAAGGTAAATTTCTTGACATTTAATCTATATGATATATCGATTTTTATTATTTTTTCTAGAAATCCGTGAATGGCATGCAGTAAGTTCTTGTCAACTTTTAACAAATTAACTATCATTTTTCATTTTTGTCTCAAGGGATTTCTACGTGATTGTCCTAATGGTAAACTTGACAAAAAGAAATTTGTTGAAGTCTACAAACAATTTTATCCACAAGGAAAAGCTGATGCTTTTTGCAAGTACATAAAAATCTGAGCACTTTTATTTTATTTTATTATATTTTCATTTTGTAAGATATGCATTTTCTACGTTCGATGCTAATAATGATGGTACTATTGATTTTGATGAATTTCTTTTGGCTATTGCTGCTACAAGTCAAGGAAATTTAAATGATCGTCTAGAAGTTGCATTTGAAATGTAAATTGATAAGATTTATATTATATTGAATACATTTTTATTTATTTTATTGAAAGGTATGATGCATCGGGTGATGGACAAATTGATCAAAAAGAATTGGCTAATATGATCTCAGCTATGGTAAATGATTTATTTAGTTATTTTTATTTAGTAAATATATATATATATATTTTTTTTGCTGTTGCTTTTTAGTATGATCTTCTTGGTGAAACTGATCGTAAAGGTGATCGTGATCCAAAGAAACGTGCTGCAGAAATTATTACTAAACTAGATGTTGGTGGTGATAAGAAATTAAACAAACAAGAATTTATTGCTGGGTAGGAAGTTTTTAGATATATTTTTCTTCTTTAATTTGGATTTATTTTTTTTAAAACTAGATGTAAAAATGATCCTGTTGTTCAACGTATGCTTGCACCAAACGCTTAAATAAAATATGTCAAATAACATTCGGAACTTCTATTATTTAATTTATAGAATAGATTAATATTGTATTTCGTCTTTTCTTTTATTTCTTTTTGTAATAAACAAAACTCGATGCATCACAAAGAATGTTGTAAAGACATAGAGACATAACTATATAAAAACTATGCGAGTGATAAGAAAAAGAATGTTCGTTGTTACTTAATGACAAGTCAACAAAGGTCGTGCGGCATGATGAAAATTGATGAAACTTTGATGGAATCGAGAATAGAGATATGTGGAACCAGAACCAAGGAAAAGACAAGCCGATAAGATTGGAACCAGGACTATGGAAAAAACATTGCCGGGATTGAAACTCAAGCGTATAATAAAATATTCTATATTATTAGGCAAACTACCTCATTAATCATATGAATCAGAACATAATTCGAAACAAATGACCCAAAAAAAGTGCTAGTTGTGAACTGAATAACTCAAAAAAAAGGAGTATTGAAGAATTATTTTAGATGTGATACGAATAAATTTCGGAATAGTTTCTTTTAGAGTGGAACTGAAATCCGAAGAAATCTTGGTAGTGCGCATCTCTAGTCGAGAAACATAAGTTTATTTGAAAAACTTAAGGTGATGGACAAAAGTTTACCAATAACATATTTTTTTCTATAATCTTAAGCATGTTTTATCAAGGTTTCTAAAACATCCGGCACGGTAGTTTTCAAGTCCGAGATGCTTTCTTTTTTTAACAAATGACATTTCAAATAACACAAAACGAGCGGTCACCGCGTTTTTTATAAACTCACCTTAAAAAATTAAAAGTACCACAAATATTGTAAAAAAAGAAATTTATCAAAAAATCGCTAAAGAATACCTTTTTTCGATTTTCTAATGTGCTCTTTTAACTTGTTAAGGGAAGGTCGTAGACAATGCAGCAATCTCTCACATTGTTCTCTTTAAAATGGTATTGCTAATAAAAAAAAAGCTTTTTGGGTCAGCAGACTACCGTGTCCGTTTATATAGAAACTTTGCCATCATAGTTCATCAGCATTATAGAAAGAAAAATACGTTGTTGTTAAATTTTTTCCACCATCTTATTTGGCTATTTGATTGCTAACGAAATCATTGCTTGTATATATTAGTTGTACAGAGCGTGTGTGGTATGATTTCTCCTTCTCTATCTCCATTGCCAAGTAACACCTATGCAGTTGTATTAGTTTTCTATTCGATTGTCAGAATAATAAAATACAATTTTAGATGTCATTCAAATCACTTGTAATTCTATTTCGAATTTTCGACAAGAATTATTTGTGATCATCAGAATAATAAATGAATCGTGCACTCACGCGTATGATATTTATTAATCTTCTCGATAGTGAAAAGAAGCATATTTACATTCGCTTACGGCCATACCACGTTGAATACACCAGTTCTCGTCCGATCACTGAAGTTAAGCAACGTCGGGCTCGGTTAGTACTTGGATGGGTGACCGCCTGGGAATACCGAGTGTCGTAAGCTTTTTCTTTTATACTTTCTTTGAAATCTATAATTAATTAATTTTTTCTTACGCAATGAATGTATTTTTATTCTAGTGAAATCTTCAAGAATCATGATTTAAATATAAAATAATGTCTACAATATAATAGTAATATTATAAAAGATCAAAACATTTGATGATTGTTCAATGATTCTTAAAATTTAGAAAACTATTAATCAAAATAATAATTTCGAAATAAACAAAAAAACAATTATTTAAAATGGTTTCATGTTTTTCTAAGTTTAATTAAATTTCTATTTGATATCACTTACAACAAAAAACATCGTAATTTCATTAGACAATAGTTTATCTGATCAGAATTATTCAATTATCCTAGAGAACTTAAATTGGTTTATCATCAAACGAATTTGAATATACAGGCAATCGGCTTTGATCTATAGAAAAAAAATCTTCTCAATACATTCACTTCCAAGTATCATCATCAGAATTTTTGAGCGTTTGATGTTCAAGTAAAGCTTGTCATTAGACAGGATTATAGGTGTATAGCAAACGAGAAAGACTTCATGAATAAATCAATTTAAAAATATATAATACTGTTATTTCTTCTTTGAATACTGAAAGGTTGTTCATGACCAAATTCTTCACCTAGAAAGGACACATGACCGAACAATACAAAAAAAAAGAATTTCTATATTCAATAGACTTGTAAACAACACTTTTCAATGGAAAAGAAAAAAAAATCTTCTAGTTTTCAATAACTATACGTCGGAAACCGTCAATAATGGTATGCAATTTAGTTGTATAATATTTTTATTCGATTATAAAAGTAAAATTATTTCAACATGCAAAAATACATCAATAGAATAACTCTAATATATGATTCTCTTTGAAATTTTTTTCTCAATGTTTTAATTTTAATCAAAAAAAGAATTTTTAACAGAAAATAAATATTCTCTCATATTGACGTATTAATTTACATAAATGAAGATGAATATGTCATACAGAATGTTTTGCGGGGATCGCTCAGTACATCAATTCATTTGTTATTCTTTCCTTTGTAAATTATAAGAGACATTGTTGGTCTATATAATTATAAATAATATTAGTGCAATAAAATTATTAGTCACTGTCAAATTTTATAATGTGATAGTTGTATCTTGTCTTTTTTCTCTTACACATTATAGTAGATAGATGAATCTGTTACAATTTTGTAATGCAGAAATGTGAAAATAGAAGCTATGATGCCTATCATAGCTGCCGTGTTTCACGCATCATAACACAATATAATTCAGATCTTCTTTTCATCTTATTTACAATAAAAGCAGTTTCATCCATTATAGTTGACATTTTGACATCATATCAATATCATGAACAGGTTTTCTTCTTTTTTTTCCTTATTTAAAATTTTTTTTTTTGAAACAAAAAAAAATCGATTTCATCATTTTGATTTGAGCTAATTTTAGATATTAGTACTTAAGCTTTTATAGCAAATATCTTGTCTATAGTTGATTGAAGTCCCAAGGATCCATTTCTTGAAATATCTATTTTGCTTTCTATTTCCATCTATTCAATCTTTTCATTTCCTTTATGGTGATCATCTTTTGTCAAGCAGTAACAGAGAATTGAACCTATCACTAATTCTGATCTGTTTTTTTCCATCGTCTAGCTACATAATAATAAGCTTGAGTTTCATTCCATTGTTCTTAGGCTTTTCTCTCTCTCTCTCCCCCCCCCCCCCTCTCCCTTTTAAATCAAATCAGAATCCTAATTCATAACATGGTTGTATATATATATATTTGTTGACGATCAACAACAGTACCTAAAGAAAAAAAGAGACACACTATAATATGTCTCATATCCAAATAGAACTATCATGATAGTATTCCGGTTCTGCACCAATCAAATATTGATGATGAAGACGATAGAAAATAAAATGTGTCGATCTGAAACTAATATGAGAATCATATTTTTGGACGAGTAGAAGAAGAAAACAAAACTAAACGAAGCCTATCTTTATTATTATTATTCGATTAGAAATTTTTTTCTTTCGGTTTGTTTGTTTTACTAAGATGAATATATTATATTTATGTCATGATATATTATACTGAAAAGAAGAGAAATAACCAGGTGTTCTTTCGTGTTGTATTATGCTAATAGATTTTTCTTTGTTATGTTTGTTGTAGATGAATATAAGAGTAATAGCGAACAAACACAAGAGCATACTTTATGTTCTGTCTTAGAATGTGCCCTTGTTTTTGTGTGTCGTCACGAAAAAAAATTCTTTTTTTTTATCAAAGATAGAGAATATATAGAAAAATAGAAATAATCAAAAAGAGAAGAAGAGAAAAGGGACGCTACATATATCGATACCAATGACTTAAGTTAAAGCGGAGGCACTATTGATTCCTATTTTCTCTTCTATTTTTACATATTTTGACCCTAGTTAGTTTCAAAGCAAAACTTTTATCGTCGATCTCTTCATTCATATAATGATTTCTCGTTTATTCTTTGTTCGTTAAAAGTGCTCGTATTAAGCTGTTTTCCTTAAAATGATTCGAGAAAATTACCGATAACAGGAATAAATATAATTTTGAAAAAGCAAAAAAAAGAAAAGAAGAAAGTTGGATATGTGAGAATGAATAAATATATTTTATTTTCTAGTTAATGAATTATATCATGTTTGATGAACAGTTATCAAGAATATTCTTACATGTCAAGTGTTAATTTAACATTAAAATCAAATGATACGACGACAATACCAATATCGTCGACAATTCTTCGTCAAATCTCCTTTCTACTTTTTCCTTGTATGGTATTAACTGGTGTCATTTGTAACACATTAATTTTCGTTATTATGAGACGTCGACGTATGTGTCATCTTTCGACATGCTATTATATGGGTATATTAGCCATAGCTGATACATGTGTTCTTCTTCTTGGTTTAACTGTCATGTGGCTTTATTTATTAAATCGAAAATGGTCATTATTATTACAATCAACATATGGTTGTAAAATACTTTCAGTTTTATTCTATACAGTATCGGATACAAGTGTATGGATTGTATGTATGATGTCAACTGATCGTTGTATTGCTGTAACACGTCCATTACATGCTAGTTCAATATGTACTGTACGACGAGCAAGAATATCTGTTTGCATACTTGTTTTATGTATTCTAATAATAAATATTCATTTTTTATTTACACATTATTTATCATCGGCTAATGAATGTACATCACATGAATATTATGATTTTTTTATACAACGTATATGGCCATGGATAGATGCAGCTGTATATTCAGCATTACCATTTATATTATTATTAACAATAAACTTAATTATTGTATTTAGTTTATTTCATGCACGTCGTTCAACATCAAATTTACAAATGTATCAATCACATAAAAATCGAAATAAAAATAAATTATCAACATCAATGTCAAGAAAATTGACAACAATGCTTTTAGCTGTAACAGTCTTTTTTTTATTAACTTCATTTCCAATGGTTTGTTTACAAATTTATACAAATATACATCAACAAAATAATAATTTATTTACTCAACTTTATCTTAAACCACTATGTGAAACATTACAATATTCAAATCATTGTGTAAGTTTTGATTTAGAAAAACAAAAATTAATTGTTATTATTATTATTATTATTATTTCATTTTATTTTTTAAGATTAATTTTTTTCTTTATGCTATAACGGGTAAAGCATTTCGTCATGAACTTAAAAGATTATTTCATAGTATTGCAATTAAAATGCATTTAACAAATAATGCAGTACAAACATCAATTGATCGACGTCAAATAGGAAATCATACGAGTTATCAAATGAATGACAATAGTTATTGTCAACGGCGAGTATCACCAGCTGCTATTCGACTTTTACGATGTCGAACATCGACGGATTCATCGGCTAGTAATGGAACTAGTATTAAACATCATCTATGATAAGGACCAATTGTCTAGTTTATGACGTACACAATGCAATTGCGCTAATGTGAGATCGCTCATTTCTTTCGGAAACAGTTATGTCCTTATTGATTTTATTTTTTCTGTAAACGTTTAAATGGATATTTGCTTTATTCAAATAAATCTAAAAACTAAAATATCATTACTATAAATGAATCAATGTCATTATCAATCTTGATCAAATCGAAAATAAGAATTTATTTGTTTATTAATTGATTTATTTGAAAACCTCATAGAACAGCGAAAACAAATTTTCTAAAAACGTACCGAAAGAAATTGACTTATAAAATGTAAGTAAGTTTGATAGACAGCTCAAAATAGAACTATCTAATGAGAAACAATTGAAAGTAATTTAATTTAAGTTCCATTCAAAAATTGACATGTATCTTCAAGTAAGATTTCTTGAACAACTAGTCTCTTTTTGATTAATCGTTTTTTCTTTATCTCATCATGTGAACAAGTTGCTAATCAAACGGATTTAAATGATGAACATTATAATAAGTATTATAACTAATTCATCAATTTGTTATAATGTTAATTCCGTTCTTCGACTTAATACATGACTATTCTTAACAAATATATGCTAGAGTTCCCAATTATTAATTCCTATTGTTTTCCTTGATAAAAAAAAAAAACTATACGAGCGATGTGCTCCTCATTTTCGATAATCACTACACAATGAAAAACAAATGATAGTTTAAACGTAAAAATTAATATGTGGGTTTTTTTTTTCATACTAATTAACGTAGTAATGTCTAAGGACTGAAAAATAAGTATTTTTATACCATTGGGAAACCAACGATGTCTTGCGTTCTCGTACAGCCTACGTAATATCACGTTGTCTTCGCTTACAAAATTTTGCTATCTTGAATACTTCATAATAATATATATAGACATAAAGAATCGTCAATGTCTCAGTTATAGAAGTTATCGAAAAGAATTTTTTGTTTGCTTTTTTTTGTTATTAATTTCACCATTTTTACATTTACATGAAATAACATTCTCGAATTTCATGTGACAATAAACTGATGCTAATAAATAGCTTTGTTTTCTTTTAACTCGTGATTCAAGAATCATATGAAATGACAAGAAGGAAGTACGCTAAATAATAGATATAGAACACACGTGGTTGACATTTATTATTGATTTTGCTAAACGGTGAAATAATTAGTTTGTTTCCGGCTATTTTACCATTCATATTGTATGTTGTAAATGAACCATTTAATAATATTAATGATTATTGATAAGAAAAATTATATAGCTATCGAATAAATATATAAACATTCCATTCTTTTATTTTTGCGTTTATATTTAAAAATTAATGTTGATAATAACTTTTTTTGTCATTCAAACAATAAAAACAGAAAAAGAAAACAAATATTTCTTTGTCAATGTGTGTAATTGAAAAAACAAGATCGATGATATGTGTACAAGAAAAAAAATAGAAAATAGAAAAAAATCAAGAGAATATTGTTTTCTTGATTAATGTCGAACGATCCTAAAATAGAATAATAAGATTTCAATTATAAATTCTTCAAAGTATCTCAATGATAAAATTATAATCTTATGTTTGATTTAAAAATAAAATATCAAAAAGAATGTTTCTTCTTTGTATAAAAATTAATTAATAATTTATTAGTCTTACTTTGCCTTCAGAATTATATAATATGGTAATAATATTGGGACTTGTATGCCAGGAAGACAAAGATGAAGCTATAAGATCATTATTTCTTTGTTCAGATTCATTTGTTTTTGTCAAAATCTAATAGAATAAATTTATAAATATGAATGAAAAAATATATGGCATTTACTTACTTTTAATGAATGATTTGGTCCTAAATGGCACTTATCAGGAAATGTAAAAATTAAATTATCTCCATTATCATTTTCTTGACTTATTGTCCAATTTGAAAGATCAATATTCTTTGATTGACTTGTATTTTCAATCATGATATAATTTCCTTGTGGATCACATTGAGAAATACTAATTGGACCTTTTGCAGATTTGAGAAAAGTTATACGAGAGTCAAGTGCTATAGAAACAAAACAGAATAATATACAGTAAAGAATGTTTATCAACATACGTCCATCAGATCCTTCCCTAGTTGTTATTACTGTTTTAACCGTATTTAACCAAGATGGTAATTTTTGTTGATCATTTTCATTACTACTTGATGATAATGAACTTGTTCGACTATTTGAATCTATTTTGATAGGTATTGGTGGTTCACTATGAGTTGATGATGATGATAAATCAAGCGGTAATTTTAAATACAACGGACTATCAATAGGAGTAGATGTTGATAAACGTAATGCTATATCATCACAATCAATTTTCATTGTAATTGGTAATGAAACACCTCGTTCACGTTCACGTATAAGAAAAATACTTTCATCAGGACTTGTTTGATCTTGTTCATTAGATTGTTTTATTTCATTTAATTTATATTGTTTTTTATGTTTTGATATTGATGATTGACATGTTTGATAACTATCTGTTTCAGATCTATCTAATGAATATTCATTTAATGATTGATTAAATAAATCTATTTTATCTGGTCGTAATGGTATACCACTTGTTAAAATTTCTGGATTAGTTAAATTTTTTATTTCATTTTGAGCATATTCAAATACTAATGGACGTTTAGTAGAATCTATTGTTCGAATAATAGTCTAGACAATACATAAAAACAATAGTGTTTAAGAGTAACAAGAAACGATGCGTTTCGACAGGTTACAATACTGAAAATATATCGTCAAATATTTCATCTTTTTTTGTCATTTGATAAATACTCAATAAATGCTTTGTTGTAATCAACCTTTCAGTATAACAGAGACCTTCGGGGCTTCTAATATGTCGTCCAAATATCCGACAGGTCTAGAGAAATTACTAATACGACTTGCGTATTACTGAAGAGAAGACTCACTTGCTCACACCATATTATGAATTACAAGCAGAAGAAATATGAATATCAGATGTCGACGAAAAACGAAAATGATTTCTAGAGATTATTCTTAATCGTGAGTATTTAACGTTTTGAGAAACAGTTAAAGCACCTGACCAAGACTAATTTAATATTATCTACGAAGATTTTGCTCGAAAAACTGAAATTTGTCTGGGTGCTATAGAAACACTAGTGCTTCTCATATGTAGAGTCTTCTATCTCGGGGTGTGATTTACTATAAATAATTAAGATGTAAACATGAGGATTCATACTGAAGATAAAAGTGTCTGTACATGAGATTCTATTTTATGATCTAAAAATCCTAAACGTTGAAAACCAGCGAATATAATTCATCTTGTATGAATACAAATTTTTTCTAATTTGAACTGATTGGTTTGTTTGTATATGAGAGCTGAAACGTTTTGAAATGAAACTGTTTTTATTGCATAAAGAAAAGTAAACTTTTTTGTCTTGAATTTTATTACAAGTCGATTTACAATTCTTTAATACAATTGGCACCAGAAAAATGAAAATAAACCGAAACAATATACTCAGTGTCTAGGTTATATAGCAAAAGTATTTCAACATGTTATTGAATATTGACCGAGACAGATACTTAACATTTCAATTTCTGCTAAATTCAATAATAAAAATCGATTTACTCATTGAAAAGGTTCAAGTTATTTGATACAATGGTACAAGGAAGTCAATTAGTCGGGAAAAAAATGTTCAATAAGCAGATCAGCCCGGTACAACTTGCTAAGCTAAATTATAAATGTAAAGAATATTTCCCAGTAGATTCAACGGCAAATATCTACAGGAAAAAAATTTCATTTTATAATATGTAAATTTCTGTTGAATAGGAAAAAATAATCAAGGATTGAAATTTTGTCCACCTATAAAACACAGCGTTTTATAATAAAGTGAATATAATGGTTTTATTTCAGAAAATCCTCTTATTTGATCTCAAAAATGAATTTAATAAATAGAAGAATTTTTGTTATTTGCGTTCTTTTATTTTGTTTGTTATAGGTCACTCATTCTATCAGTTTTCTCGCAGAGAATATTAGAATTTATTTTGTATCATTCTATAGAAAAATGTCCAAGTATCGATTAAGTAATGTGAACGTCGATCAAAGAAAGAATGAAATCAAAATGAATTATGCATTTCTATGGAACGTCGAATACTCTATAAATTAGACTATTTATATTCTTTTTTTCCTTGTTCTTTATTAGAGGTCGACAAGTATACTTCTAGTTCCGATCAGACGAATTGTTCTAACAGTTCTTTTGTTTATTTGATCTGTTCTTTGAACTGTGAGTTGATCGGCACGTATTCTTTATTACAATAAAAATATTTTCTGTTTTTAATACATGTTGAGGAGCTATCGGAGTTTGTTCGTTCTTTTTAAAGTTTCGGGATGTTTTTTTTTTTCTGCGTCGTATATTATGGAACTTGGATCCTTTTATAAGATTTATCTAAATATATTTCAATATAAATTAATTTATTGTTGAATTTATGCTTAAAACATTATTGTATCATCAGTGGATCTATTCGAGATACATAATATATTTATTGGTATTCCGGTACATCTAACATGAATCGATTCTTTTCCTAGTAGATACATTCTATACAGCAGAATCAAATTACATCGATAATCACTGTTCTAAAACCTTTACAACTAACTAACAACACCAGATGATTTAATAGTTAGAGCAATTACTTCTCGGTTCACATAGCTAAAGTTCGAATCGTTTTTTGGTTCACTTGTTCTTTTGCTATTCATGAGTTTCTTTTGATTAATATGGCATAGAAAACGTTCCTATTATAAATTCTGTCGCATACTATAGGATCCATTCCAAATATGTTATTTTTTTAGCAGATTTATTATACAAAACATCCGCATAGTGAAGTCCTAGTAAATTCTGAAAAAAAATAAGCTCTATAAACTGCTAAGAAAACTCGACATTGGTTTTCAGAACTCTAATGCCAATTTCAAAATAAAATGTACTACACTGTTTTTAAATAACTTTTGATAAGAATATCGAAGAGATATGCGGTTTTCACCATTCAAGTGAGAAGATACTGGGGTGATGGAAGCATGTCAAAATTCGATTGATCTGTAATTGGCCAATCAGATGAACTTTTGATGAAGAGTTTTGCAAACGATATTCTTAAGCCATTTCCATTTTGATTAAAACTGTTAATATGATCAACGAATTGAAAGAATTCTTCTTTTTCGATCTACACAAGGTCAATATTTTTAGAATGTTGCTTTCAAGAATTATAAGGCTGTTTCTAAGTCTCTGATTTCCACCAACCGATCAGACATCACTCAGAAAACCAATTAGACAGCAGTAATTCATCATGTTCAGCCGAATGGTGATATTTATTTTTAGGTTCAAACTGCTCTAACACTGTTATCTCAATTCAAAGCTAAAAATAAATATCCCTATTCAACTCAGCATGATGAGCTACGTCTGCGTAACTGTTTCGTGTGATGCCGGATCAATGGTTGAAATTGAAAATCTCAGAAAAATGTTTATAGTCCCTAAACGGAACAAGCTAGGAATATCGATCTTATATAGATCGAAAAAAAAGAGCTTTTTCTATTTGAATATAGTTTCAGAATGTCTTTTTCAAAACTCTGCACCAAGAGCTCATCTGATTAATCAACTGCTGGCTAATCCATTTTCAATATACTTCCATTGTCTCGGTCTTCTCTTTTAAACAGTGAAAACTACAGGTTTTTATGATGTTACTATCAAAAGTTATTCAAAAGACAATAGAACACGCTATATTTTGAAATCGATATTAGCTATCGGATATGTGTTTTTAACAACGACTAATCCATTTTACATATTGTTTATATTAAAATATAGTTATTTTTATCGATTAGAAAAAGTTCCAAATAAAAAAAATTAAATCTTGCTGTAAACATTGTTTTTAACATGACCTACTTGATTTTCACTTGCTATTTTACCCTCATCATCTGCATCATCTTCTTTTGGTAAACTTGGACTATAATTACTAGCTGATGGTCGCCATAAACCAGGATATCCTGGTATAAGATAAACATCATCTGATTGTTGTCTTAATGATGATGAACTATTATTACTTGATGGTGATGTTGCAAGATCATAACATTGATAAGCTTCATCATTTTCATTTAAACTACTATTTGGTTGTGCTAATTGATCAATAATATGATGAATATTAGTCAAATCATTTTGTTCAAATTCTTCATCAACATCATCATCTGTACTACTTGTTTCTAAATGTTGTTGTTTATTTTCATGTAATGTATAAAATTTTTGAGCACCTATATCATCAGGAAAAGATGTTAAATTTTCTGTTGCATCAAATTCCGTTGAATCATCTTCTTTTATTATTCTTTGATTAACATTATCGATTGGTTCATAGAAAATATTTTCATCTGTATTCTTATATATAGGAATGTCAGCTGCTAAAGGTATAGTTGGTAAACGTTCTTGTGATGAATCACGCATTTGATGTATTGCATAAGAAATATAATGATCAGAACTAGTCACTTGTGATGATGTTGTTGAACTAGAAGATTTTTCTGGTGGACGAAATAATGGTTGAGGTTCATTAGGTAGAACAATACTATGACCTTGTAAAGTATGAACTAATTCTAATGAGTCAGGTTCAGTATTTGTTGCAGATGATTCACAACGATCAATTGTTAGTTTTGATTGAATATTTTCTATTTCAGTATTCAATGATATCTAAAAATAGATAAAGAAGAATTATAAACTGGATTTTTGTTTTCTATAGAAAAAGAATTTCCTACTGAATCAGATTCGAGTTCACTTGCTGATTTTTGCATGACATCATCAGTCTACATATATACAGAATTATTTTAAAGTGAATTTAAAAAATTGATTTCTTACTTGTATAGTTGTTAATTTATTAAGATTACTATCGGAAATAGAAACTTCTTGTGTATTTTCAATTGGATTTTCTTGTAACTGTGATATAACAATATGAATTGTGTCATCGATTAATTTGTGAATAGTTTTAAGAATAATTTGATCATCTTTATTGATATCCGAAATTAATTCATTCTAAATGCACGAATTATTTGAAAGATAATTTTCTTCGAAGTTAAAAAATAGTAATTTTACAGTTGGAAATGTTGCTGTAAGCTAGTGATGTACAGGATAAGCTTTTTTGTATCCTGTGCTAGAACCACATGTACGGTTCAAAATTTTCGAACTCAGATCTGGTTAACAGCAAATCGTCTGAAGTGAACTCGGGATCAACCTAACGGACTCTACCCGATAGAATAACTTTGTGCATCTCTATAGTAAATTCTGACATGGTTAGTTAGTGGGGCTATTTTTTCATCATCAAAAATCTTTAATGAAATGATTAGAAAAGACTCAAGTTAGATAAAATTGTATTTACTTGTGGTAATAATGTTGTAAAACTTATGTCTATTTGATTTGGAGTTTGATGTTCTAGATAACATTTAGATTGTTCATCAGTTAAGTTTTGTTCTTTTTCATTAGATAATGATGATAGATTTTGAATAGTTTCTGTTGATGTAATTTGTTCACCGAAAGGTTGATCATTCATAGGTATGACATTCTAAATTACTAAGTTAATAAAGAGGAACATTTTTTTTTTCGAGCTTAAATCACCTGTTCGATTAATGGTAGATTTTCTTCGGTGGAAGCAAAAGAAATAACACTATCGATCTTCTCATTGATCGTCTGCTCAGAAATAGTTAAGTTCTAAATTTCAAAATCAAGTTATAACTTATTTTTACTGAGCATTACATACTAATGTTTGAGGTGCGAGTTCAACCTGAGTTATTTGTTCAGATGAAACAACCTTAGTTATTAACATGTGTTGATCATCTTGGATCAAATGAGTAGATACAATGCTTTCAGTTGTTTTGTCTACTGCCGACGTTGACTCTTCTGGTTTTTGATTCACAGTAGTAGTTTCCTTAATTTTAGAGTTCACTTTTTAATTATTATTCTTTGCATACAACTTACAGTTATTTTAAAAGATATTGGTTCTATATTAATTATTTCTTGTGTATTTGTGCACTCAGATATAACAGCGCTTTCTGTTGATGCTTGTTCATCGTGTTGTATGACACGAGTTTCAGTCGTTCTGTCTTCAGCAGATAGTTGAGTCTAAAGTTTTGTATTCATTAAATTTATTTTTCTTATGAAAAAAAACTCACTGGTATTCTAAAAGATGAAGATTCAATCATAACATTGTCTTGGTTTTCTATTGGTTTAATAATGGTAGTCTTGGATGTCAAATTGATAGATTCATTCATCAAATTATTTATTGGTTTTTCATGTGAAGTATCCAATAATGATGACGATTCTTCAATATGTTCATTTGGTGTTTGAATTCGTACCGATGATACATCTGTAGATGCAACTTTTTGAATTGTTTCTGTAAATGTTGTTATTGTATCTGAAACTTTCTCTTGAATAGAATCGAGTAAAGACGATAGTGTTAGTTCAATTTCGTCCAATGAACGAACATTACTCTTAGGTGGTGATGATTGAACAATATTTAAATCCTAGAATGATAATTACAGAAATATGCTTATTGATAGTGATAAATTTGAACTACCTTTATCTCTTCAATAGAGATCGATTCTTTAGGAACTCGTTTGATTTGTTCTGTATTTGATGTCAATAGAACTTCCTGTTTTTCTTCTTGCAGATTTGATAACATTGCTTGAATAATCTCTGTGACTGTATTATGAAGATTTTTCAATACTGTGTTTGATTCTTCAGAAGTATGAATAGTCTGTTTATTCTAAAAAAGAAATAATCAATAAATATATTATAAATACTCGACTAATTACGCATTACTTCTTCAATATTAGTTTCATATTCATTAATATCTTTTTCTGAATCAAATGTTATTCCAGTTACCATCCTGGTTTCAGCTTGACTATTATCTATCATTTCACTTTCATTTGTCAATGGTTGTATTGCAGTAATTGTTTGCATACTTGATACGACACTTTGAATTGTTTCAATAAGTGGTGTAACAGGAGTTTTAATAGTTTGACGAAGAGAAGTCAAAAGAGATATCACTGTATTGTCATTGTTGACATCCGACGGACTCTATTGAACATAATAAGAAACATACAATGAGTACCAAAATTATTCAACAAAGTTTATTTTTCAGTTTCTTTCGCTGTCGTAAACGTTAGAATGGATCGAAATATGGATTCAACTAGAGATAATGGTTTCCAACAAGTATATAAGGAAATAAAAATTATTATACGATTCACATATAGAGGAAGTTCAGAAAACCAAAATCCGTATTTTTCAACGCTCATTTAGTTCATATTACTTACAACAATAAAGTAAACCGTCATCTACAATATGAGACATCGAGGAGTTCTCTGTGACAGTTTTTGACTGAGAAACAAAATTTTGATTAGAGATTTAAAAAAATAGTTTTTCTATAAGGAATTGGAGAAAAAAAATGACTATAGGTAGGGGCTTCCTTAAGATTGATGTATCTCATGAAGAAATCTCTTCAGATGTTAAATAGCTCTTCGACAGAGACGATGTTCATTTGATGAGTACTAGTGAGCAATAGAAAAGTCTCGAATGGCTTGATTTTCCTGACCTTCATCATCAAGATATCGAAACTTTACTGAGGTTTTCGACATAATGCTGTGGTTACATAGAAAATCGGCTTTCGAGCTTTGATTTCAACCTTTGCACAAACAAAAGTCCTCGAAGAGATTAGTTCACTAGGCAAGTTGTAACTTTTCTAGTGCTTACGATCCTGATATATCCAACATTCGAAATTCTCTCATGTGTAAAAAGAAAAAAGACTTTTGTTCATATATTTACATCCACTAGTACCCATCAAATGAACACCGTCTCGGTCGAAAAGCAATTTAAAACTTAGAGAAGTTTTCTCACCAACTAAAAAACATCGCAGAGAACTCAGAGACATCTCATTTTATTGATAATGGTTTGCTCCATCGTTCTATGTTGTCTTAACAAGATTATATTGACGTATTCTAGGTGTTGAAATGCAAATCTGATAATAATTTTTATTTTCTTGTGTTTCTTTTGGAAATAATTTTCTCTATTCGAATCATTACTTGGATTCTTTCTAGCGCTTACAGCAGCGAAAAAAACATTGACATATAAGCCTCGTTGAATAATTTTGACATTCATTGTATGTCTAAACACGCATTAGAAAATTCTACTTACTTCTATAAATTGTGTATGTTCGCCTTGGTAACCGTGATAGACATCACTGCTTATATATCGAGTACTAATTGAAATTTTAAGTGTATCGATTGGACTTATGATGTTTGGGAGTAATGATAAAGTTGTGCTTTCCATAGCTGATGTTCTAACAAGACTTCCTGTATCATCAATAAGTTCTGTAGAAGTTTTGATTTTATTTGATTCTATTTCTTCGAGTTGTTTATCAATAACGTCTTTGTTAATAACGTCTGGGATTATACTCGATTGTTTGTCACTAGTAAAAGTATTTTGACTAGAAGAACCCATACCGAATATGAATTGATTGTTAGTAGAACTTATTGAACTGGACGCATGTTCATTATGACTTGATCGAGATTCAATTATATCTGAGGAAGTACTTCGTCGTTCATTAGAGTCTGAGAAACTTGCTGATGTTTCAAGTGGACTAGATGATTTGATTTGTCGTTGAATAATATTTGCCGATGGTTCAGTAGAATCTGATGTAATAATTTGATTATTTTCAGTATCAAATGTACTTATCTGTTGTTTGTCAATTGCTTTAGATTCATTGAAAGTTATATATTCTTCTTCAGGAACTATAATTGAAGCTTTCGATGAATTGATTTCTTCTGTAAGACTTAGATATAATGAACTGTCGTCATCGTCATCGTCATCGTTATTCAAGAGTATATTATCATCTGTAACTTGACTTTCATTTTTCTTACACGATATTGCTTCATCATAAGATTCGCTATAAATAGTTTCTTCTTGTAAATTTTCATTATTGACTATATTAGATAATAAACTTATTTTCGGTTGAACACATTCAACATTGTTTAATGAAGTTTCGAGTAAAATTTCGGATTCTTCGTCATTTTTGTTACGTAACGAAGAAGTTTTAACGTCTTCTTGAATTTGTTCACTTGACAATGATAACATTTTATGTTCGTCTAACAGTGTTTTTATTGATTCATTTTTCTCTTCCTCAATTGGTGTTGTTGACTTTTGAATATCAGGTAGTACGGGAGTTAGTTCACTATCGAGATCTGCCATAGCAGTAACAATTTTGTCATATGAATCGTCACGTATCAAATATTTTACTTTAGCATGCTGCATATTCATATTTGTAACTGATACTATTGGTTGTTGTGATGATGATTGAGGTTCAATATTTTTACGTTTAAGAATTGGTGAACCATCCGCAGTAAGTTCATAATCGAGTACACTCTGACATGGACTCATACTACTTACAGTAGAACTTAATGGTGATACGGTAGCAAGAATGTCTGAAATTTGATTAATCAATGAATCATATTCATTAGTTTGATTTTCAAGAATTTCAATAGGCTTAGAAGAAGTTGTTAATAATTCTTCTGTTGGTGCATGTTCAGGATCAATTTTTGATTTATCATAAATAATAGAAGATTCTGCTAATGATTTTTCAATATCTGATGAACGTATATCTTCATCATGTTGAAACAAATGTGTTTCTGTTCTATCGATTTGTTTTTCGATATTAGAAGATGGCAATACTGTTTGTTTATTAGTACTATTCGGATAGATATCATTAGAGAATGATAATGGTGCGGATTGAAATAATACGGAAGGTTTATATGAAGATGTTGTTAAGGATGATGATAATAAAGTCGAAGGTCTAGATGTATGTGATATGGGTTTATCGATGTTTTCCTTAGATGGTTCAGATTGATAAGTAGTTGGAGGTTTAGATAAAGACGGTTGATAAATTGATGTTGAATAATTAGAATTAAGAGTTTGAGTTTCCGATAAGGACGTCTGTGCACCTGAAAACGGTTCATATTGAGTAGAAATATTCGGTATTAAATTCGACCTAAAAGTCGAATTTGTATTAGGAGAAAATGGTAAAGTTTTATCGAATGAATTCGAATTTTGAATATTATTAAAACGAGTTTGACTCGTTTTAATTGAGTCATTTGTTGATAAATATGTTTTTGTTCGTTCGAGTGGAACTGGTTTAACATGTGCAAATATAGGAGGAGTTAACCGATGACTATATCTAGTCGGAATTAGTTTAGGAGCGAAAGCAGATAAATATGCATCGGTATAGTCTGAACGAGGCGTTGTAATAGCTTTAGATTGTTCTTGTTCCCGTATTGCACGAGTTTCGAAAAAAGTCTGTGTCTTAAATTTTCGACTGTTAAAATCACTTCCACTCTGTTCATATATATTCGTATGATAAATAACAGGTGCCCATTGAACATTCAAACTAACTGTATAAGGTCGTCGTCGATGACTACCATATACTTGTTCAAAAATTGTTGATTCTTTTCGAGTCGATGATAAACTTTGAAATGGTACATAAGATCTCAATTTTAAATTATTATGATTAAAACCTAAAAAGTATTATGTATTAAAATAAGAGCTATTTTATTTTTCTCATGCATTTTTATTATTCATTCAATCATGCTTTTTGTAATGCTAAAACTATGTGTATTTAAAGAATAAAATAATAAATCTAATAGAAGAATACAATAAATGAATGAGCAAGCTAAAAGGAATGTGAGAAAATTGATAGATGATAAATAGAATCAGTTTGTTTTCTTTTTTTTTTTTTTCATTTAAGAAAATTATTAATGATCATGTTGTTCATGAGAATCTTCTATTGACGAGTCAAAATCAGAACTACGCTCAGATGATGCACTCGAATATCGAAGTGGAATAGGTTGTTCTTCATGCATAGGTGCTTGTATCGGTTCATCATCATTATTTTGAATATTATTATCCAATGATGAAGATATTGGTGATAAATAAGATGTTTCTTTGTCCAATGAATTTTCACGATCAGCTTGTGATCGATCTTGGTTTTCTATAAGTATATTCTTTTGATTTTTATTAAATAAAAATAACTACATTACAACAATGACGATACAACATCGAAGGATAACTTATAATGAATATTAAATTTTATTGGAAAACGCATAATGTCAAACAGCATGCAACGAGGAATATGACACATGCATGCATAATTTCTTACCTTGACTATCATCTTGTTTTTGATAGGATTGTGAATAAGTGGTTGATACATCACTACTAGCAGAAAAATTAGCTCGTGTTTGCTGTTCAACATTGTCAACTATTTGTTTTAAGCCTTCCCTAAAAAGCAAATAATTATCAGAAATATTTGAAAGTTTAGAATTATTAAAAAAGAAAGGATGAATTTATCATAATTACCTTTTCTCTTCTCCTTCAAGTAATTTTCTATAAATAGCAATTTCTGAATCAAGTGATATTTTCGTTGAAATAAGTTCGTCATAATTTCGTGCTAAATCTTCAAGACGAGTTCGTAATTCTTTTATTTTTTGACCTCGCTCATCTGATGCTCGAATACTTTCACTTCGTTCATTTTTAACAAGTTCTTCTAATTCTCGAATACGATTTTCTAATTCTTCATTCTACAAAATTAAGAAAAAAAAAAAAAAAAACAAATTATCATATTCTTCTTTTTGTTTTATTACAAAAAGAAAATTTACTCGTTGACGTATTGTAGAAATATCTTGTTGTGAATCTGAAACTAATGTTCGTAATCTTTTTATTTCTTCTTGTTCAAGAGTATTTTTTGATTTTTCAATAGATTGACGAGTTTGAACTTCTTTTATCTAACATAGAAAAAAAACATGAATTGAAATATTTATCATTAAACAAAATTTAAAGAAAAAAAACAAACAAGCTAATCTTACAGCTTGTGTAACTTTTGATTGATACCATGATTCAAGTTCATGTCGTTGTTGATAATTAAGTTGCTCATATTCTTGTCGAATATTTTTTATAGCATTTGATAATTCATGTTGAAAAAATTTTGTTGGATCTAATATTGTATCATTTAAATTAATTTGTTTTAATTCTTCGATTTCTTGTAAATGTATTTCTTTTAAAAATTGAATTTCTTTTTCAAGATCGTGGTTTTGGTTTTCTAATTCTATTCGAGAAATTATTTCATGATCTAAATCTTTTGTTATACGTTGAATATCTAATGTAAGTTTTTTAGATTCAACATTAAAACGTTTTTGTTCATCTTCCAAATCAGCTAAATGTTAATTTTCAATTTAAACATAAAAACTAAAAAAAAACTTATTTATAATAGAATTTACTTAAACGACGACGAAATAGATCAAGATCTGCTTCGTTATCAAATAATTGCTTTTGTAACAATTCAATTTGTCTACGATCAGAATCTCTTGCAACTAATAATACTTCACATCTATTTCAAAAAGAAAAAATACAACAATATTTGATCGAATAAAATAGATTTTAAAAAAAATGTACTTCTCTTTCAATCTTAATGTTTCTTCTTCAGCATGTTTAGCACGAAGATCAATTGTAGCCTGTTGTTTAGCTGTATCATTAATAATCTGACGAGCTTCAGATATTTGGCCGTCGTAAATTTCTTTTACTTTGGTTATTTGTGAACCCCATTTTTCACTACAATTTATTTTTATTCAAATTTAAAAAAACAATAAAGAACTAACAAGATAAAAACTTACCGTAATTGATCTATTTCAAGTTGAAATTTTTTATTTTGAGCTTCCAAAAAACGTACACGTTCAATATACGAAGCAAAACGATCATTGAGATGATTTAATTCGCGTTTTTCACGTTTGCGATTTTCTCTTACAAAAAAAAATGTAAGTTTCATGAAAGACTATCCGTTAATATCAGATTGTATACTAATAACATATGTACTGAAACACTACGTAAAAAGCTGTTAGTACAATCCCAATGGAATTAACATGTAAAACACGATGTAGCTAATGTTGCTAAACATAGATTGTTTTGGGACATATTTCGTCACGATCGCTGTTACTTAATCGCCCAGAAATTCAATAAGAAAATAGTCATTTATTTATATGAATATATGGTCTGTGATCGAATATCAACAATGCCTTTCACAGTCTGTCAGGAAGAGTCTTAATTTCTACCTCAACACTTAAAACAATCCTTTTCAATCGTATTTCACAAAAAAAAAGAAGTGACTACGTCGCTCAAACTTTGGCATCATCAGATATGAAATGACCTTGCACAACTTAATGAAGGTTGTTTGTCTCAGATCATTCGTCTAATAGCATATTGACTACGTTGTGACATGTACCTACTCTTGTAGTTAGTTAATGTATATAGGAAGTGTACGAATTAGGTGTCAGGCCATTGTTCTGTTCAGAACTACAACTGGTATTAATCGTACGAAAGTTATCGAGCTATTGACTCTGCTATTCTAAGCAACACCTTATATCGTACGATAAAAATATTCTTTTTTTCTATGGTACTGCTCAAAAAAATATGAGATCAATGCATTTTTGTTATTTTTTAATACGATATCAGTTATTTAACTCAAATCCAAATAGTAGTTTGAATAGTCAATGAAGTTCTCTGCCGAATATATTCCATACCAAAAATTCATAAATGGACTGTGAGGGAAGGACTTCTGGAAAATCAAACACGGTAGTTTTCAGATCCTTAAAGACTTCGTGACAGTTAGTTTTTAAGAGTATCACCTTAAAGAGTGCAAACTTCTAAATAAAATGAAACGTCACTGCATTTCCTACGACATTATTAAAAAAAACTTGTTAGTATCAGAAAAAATGCGTTTTTTTAGCAATTCGATGATAAATTTTGCATTGTAATATTTATAACTTTTATAGGATAAGGTCATAGGAGATGCTGCAACCTGTCATTTTATTCAAGATCTTTTGCTCTTCAAAGTTTTTGATCAGTACTATATTTCAATGTCAACAAACAAAAAATATGTGTTTCAGTTTATCTTATTAGCATTGGATAATCTTTCAGTTCATAAGCACATTCAATTTTTAAAATGATCAATCTAGCATAAACGTTTTGAATAAATCTTCGTATTGATTATCTTTTATCAATAATCAAACTCAGTATAGAAATAGATCTACATTCTATGAGAAAAGCTTTTAACTTAATCTCTGCGGCATTAAAAAAAACAAAAATCATAATGGAATTATTTCAATGATAAACAAAAGTCTGTTTTATCCTTCTGATCCTTTCTTTGTTTTTTTTTTCTTCTTCTCCTCTTTACGATTTATAATAGACAAGAGTATCTGTTACGATCTGTATTATTCCATAGACCATTTCTTTTCTTCTCTGTGACAGACCACAACAGATATTTCTGTCTGTCACCACCTATTGATCTAAATCCATTGTTATTTCTATGTAAAAAGAAAAGAAATCTCTTGTATCTTCTTTTATAATCGTATATTTATTGATCCTTGTCAACAATTATTTTCATAATGAAACATCATTCAAAACAGACACAGTGTTAGAAACATGATATATCATCTTGACACATACAGCGATGGACAGTAAGACTTATACTTCATTCTATCAAGGATTATATTGTATCCTGATAAAGAAAAATATAAGACGAGTATTATTATTATTATTATTATACTAAAGGATAAAACAATAAATACATGGTTATTTGATCAATTTTATGTATTGACAAGTGTAATAGAAAAATGATTCAAAAAAAACAACTCTTACTCAATTGCAATAACAGCAGCTGATTTACCACTTGGTTTCATTGGAATATCAGAGGAATTAAAACGTTCTACAAAGATATTTTTTGTTGATGATATTTGTGAAGTTCCTTGTAATTGATCAGAGTTTATTGTTTCTTCTTCTGTTTGATTTTCTTTTTCAGATAATATTGAAGAAGTATTATGATTATCCATTGAACTATATAACAAGTAGTTAAACTAAAAAAAGAATGAAGAAAATATTATAGAATAATAGTTGATTGGTAATCAAAATATTTCTGTTTGCCTTGTTTATGAAAGAAACAAACGACAAAATTTTTAAATGGAAAAGTCTAAATACTCTGATCTTTATAAGAATTAATATATAATGATTTTCTTCTAGGAAAACCTTAAGTTTTCTTTTTCTTTTTTTTTGTTAATAATAACGAGATCATATGCACGAATAGAGAGTAACACAAGGCGATTTTCTTTTCCTTTCTCTTAATCGACCTATAGATCCGAACAATAATAACACTTTCTTTTTTTTTCTCTTCTCTCTTTCCTTGTGTTGTTCATTATTATGAACAATATAAGCAAAATGCATTATTTGCGGTAAAACTAACATTTTCATGTTGTAAAAGCAAGAAACTGGTCGTTTAGACATTATCGATATAAGAAAAATGAAATGCGTTGCATAATTTTTTTTCTCCATATTTATATTTATGTTATTTCAACACATGCACTATTTCTTAAAAACTAGTCTATCAAGATCATTTGTATGCATATAGTAATCAATATTTTGTCCATATTTTGATAGAGATATACACAATCAGAAAAGAATGCAATCAATGCATTGTAAGATTATAACATAATGTATATATGAAGAAATCATAATAATATATAATTCATTATCGAAAAACATATTGAATGCTTTACGTTTATATTGAGATTGGTGATTGAAAGCTTATCTTCACTTAAATAAGGAAACAAAACAAAACTTATATGTCAAGAACTTCTAATTACGACGTCGTAACTTTATTTGATGACAGGAGACGAGGATGATGGATGAGATAAGCATGGATAGTGAAGAAAATATCATATATAGCAGATACTTTTTTTCGGAAAATGAAGTTGTTGTAAAACAAAGAAAGAACGCCTGCTATAGAATGTCTTCAAACGATCTCAGAATTGATCTGCTAACATACGTCTGCAACATACAAATAGATCATTTTAAAACAATTTGTAATTTTCTTATATATATTAGTTGATATAGAAAACTATATCCCAAGTGAAAATACTTAAATAAAAACCCCCAATGCCCTATAGCATATGATTTTCACTTTATTGTCACACTATTCCTCACGGACAATTTATTCAATTATCGATTAGTATAAATGTATACTATAGGTCTTCAAAATCAATATTGTTGAAGTAATATAACGTATGGCTGTCCCTTGTCGAAACAGACAAATATTGCTTGTAACAAATTTATGATGTACAATAAAAATGACATACCGTTAGGATATATTGTCGATCAAGGTATTCATACACCAATCGAGTTTTGTCAACAACAATAAAATTGTGTCTAATAGATGCTTGTTTAGTGCCGTTAGGCAAAAAAAAAATTTTTTTTTATATACTAATCATAGTATTAGTGGGTGTATGTATACACGACGTTATCAAGATAAAAAAAAGGAAATAAATTGTTTCTTCTTGCCTCTCTTTCTATCGAAGAGAAATTTCTTTCTAGTCTAGCATCTATTATCATCTTTCACGCCTGCAACTGTCCTTCTTCTACTGTTTGTTCTATATATATGAAGGCGAATAAACATAATTGTATGTCTTTAACACTATAGACGTTGCCTATTCATCCATATGGATACGACAGAACTTATAAAGATGATTCTTTTTTCTTGGTTGATGATCTTTGATCATTTAGATTGTACTGTTCGGCAACAATTATTTTATTAGTTTCGATTTGTTTAAGAAGTACTAATGTTTATTTGTATTAATAGAAAAAAGAAGTATATGTATATATAGTCTATTAGAAGTACAGAATCTATTCACATACATGTATTTGGAAGAAAGTGTTGTTTTTTTTTTAAGTTTAGAAAATTATTCCCTGAAGAAAAAAAAACGTTTTTTTTTTCTTAGAGATGAATGTGCAAGCTTTAGTATAGTTTTTATCTTAGTACATTACCTTTTCATACGAAAATCATTTCATATAATCTTATATGTATGTTAAGTAAGTCTGTTTTTCTTGTTTTCATCGAATATACAAGGTGAGTTATAAGTAACTAAATGATAAAAAATTTAGAATATCTCAATTTCGATTTTATGAAACAAGCTGTTTTTTTATATGTTATGAATAGAGACTTACGTATTTAATATTGTGTCTTTTTTCCATATATGGATAATATAAATAAATATTGCTTTAATATATCAGTACTAAAGAGATATAATCTGTTGTCATAGAAAGAAAAATTATCTATGGATCAATCCACAGGTATTTTTCTTCAAACATCAGGAAAAAAAGCAACCTGCTTGATAGAACTGAAACCAAGATATTCCGACGTTGTGTTGTCTTGTTACTTATGGTAATATTATGTTTCAGTTCCAATGACAAGTCAACGTTTTTCTATCTATACAATAGAGATATATATTATTTCAATGGCATCGTATGTACCTACTACATTGTCAACACTTAATAATGAAAGAAAATGGTAGACCCATCAATCAGAAGACTCCGTGCATAGGAGCATACATTCATATCAAATAAATGCTTTTTCTCTTTGATGTTCTATGACTTTTGGCAATGACGCATTAGTGAAGACATTTATTGCTTGTTACAGAAAATAATTTTTTGCAATATCTGAAGAATTTATTTTTCTTTGTTTCAATTAAGAAAAGAAAAAAAAATATTCATTTTTTTAAAAATATTTTATGATTCGATCATTATAGAAATATTTTATTCAAATGTTAAAACTATACGTTGAATTGATAGAGAAGTATATATATGTCGTGCCGAAGTTACACTCTTTGCCGAAGTTGTAACTTCGACGGACATTTTTGTCGAAGTTATAACTTCGGCACTACATATATATCTGTATTTATATATTTCTTTCGCAAATGTACTATTTCCATAATTATCAATTCAGCATA